TAGGTAGCTTCCCAAACACTGCCTGCATCAGCAAGTTGAGAAGTTAAACCCCTAGAGGTCATTTAAAACAAAAGTTTCTCACTCTGGTCATGCTGTTTATTTGTGTAAAGCACTTTTCAGATTAACCTACTGAAGTAATAAGTAAAGTACATGAGCCAGATGTGTCCCTAAGGACAAGTACTGGTAGGCAGCTAATTACCGGTAATTAATTGTCCATAATGTTGCAGATCAAGATAACGGAAATTTTCCTAAACATTATCTAAAGAACACATTGTACTGTAGTTTTGGATCAGAACACTGCTGCCATATGCTGCTGCTGCACACATTTTATTTTCTTGTTTGACTTGAAAATGTAAAACAGTTGCTGCTTAGGATTCAGCTACTGAATAAGGGAAGTACTTTATTGTAAATAACTTGCATACTAGAAGCCTCATAGACAGTCTGGATCTAACATTGTGTGGGAGTCTAACCTGTGACTGTTTGCTAAAACTGAATCACTCTGTCTTATGAATTGAATTATGTTGCTTAAAACAGCATTTCATCAGTTTTACTTCACAAATAGCATGTCACCTCAAACAGTAAGTGACATGCTGTGAGTCTAATCGCCATTGTAGACTGTTCTTTTTGAAAAACAAAGACGAGAACAGTATCAAAAAAACAATCTGCTAAGGCTTGTTTCCCTTTTCAAGCTTCAGTGAAAAAAATAATAGATGGAGAAAAGGCACTATTTTTTATGCAAATCATTGTTTCATGTCTTTTACTAGAAATTAATGATATGCTCTTTTAAATGAATTCAGGATATGGTCCAGTAAACTCCTATTTCATACTTTAATCCTTGGACAGTTTATTGTAAGGTTGTTGATACATTTGCAGGAGGTTAGACATCTTCATTTGGTGACCTTTGTTGACCTTGGTAAGGAGCCATCAACCCACATCTTATCTCTCCTTTTGTTGAGCGACAAATGCACTAAACAGCATGCAGTCTGTAGTTTGGAATAAAGTTGCTTTATCTATTTTTGTCTTTGATTGATTGCTGATTAATTAGATGCACACAGCCTTGTCTTTGTGTAGTCCTTAGAGAAATGTTTTTTTGATGATAGTCTGTCAAGCTATCATCATCATCTCCCTGTCAGATATTGTACAACACGTTCTAACTGTCAGACAAATCTCATGCAGCACATTTACAAATTTACCTTAAGAGAGGGAAGTCCATCTAAATTTAGGGACAAATCAGATTCACTGATTTCAGAGATGAGTGACTCAAGCCATGTATAACTACTGAACCAAAATTGAACGTGAAAATTATCAATGGAAGGTCGTCAGCAGCCTTTGGATGCAGAATAATTCATCTACACTTCTGAAAGTTTGCAACCAAATGCAACCAATGCAACAGCAAGCAAAGAGCAGGACCCCAGGAAATTCCTATTTTCTTTGAACGATTTATTTTAGGGGCTTGTCATACCTTCATTAGGAGAGACAGGGCAGTGGATGAAGTGGTAAATCAAGGAGAGATAAAGTAAGGAATGATGCGCGGGAAAAAATCTGCAGGCGGATTCGAACCCAGGCTGGTGGCTACATGAGCCACAGCCTCTGTACAAGGACCACAAGTTTACCACAAGGCCTCTGACACCATGGAACATACCTCTTTTAAAAATGATATTCATATTCATAATAAAATTCTATCAATTCACCATAAAAAGTATCCTATTTTTTGTTCTCCCAGCTCACTGGACATATTTAGTCACACCTGTGTACAGAAGATCCATCACAGATCCGCCTATAATAAGTAGTTTTAGATTTCTTTACTTAAGATGTTGATTAAAAAGCTTCCAAGCAAACTCACTGCCCATCTGTCCACTCCCTTTGATCCATCTCAGTCTGAGTTCAGATGTAAACACTTCACTGAAATTGCACTCTGCAGGGTTGTCAAATGATTTGTTAATTGCTGTGGACCCTTCGATGTTCTGGGGAAGTCTTTCATCATTGAGGTACTGCTACTTGTCCTGTCTGACAGAACTCAGTATTGGTGGGTATTAGGTTTGTTGCTCGAGTATTCTAGTATTTAGTATGGTGATCAACAGGGATCTGTACTTGAACTACTTCTTTTCTGCTTACATTCTGCCCCTTGGACAAATATTCCATAAAGAAGGCACACACTGCTGTCATGCAGATTACATTCATATCTCTCTGGTTAGATTTTCTGAAGCTTTTTCTAATAGAAAAGCTTAAAAGGAGTCTTAAAAGTTTTGAATTTCATTGCGAAAAGGACTTAGAAAGCTTCTTTCGAGCTGGATAAACAACTTTTTTATACCATCTTAATTTTTGACTGACCTATTCCACAAATTTAGAGAGTAGGGCATCTAATTGAAATATATTTTTTTTAAATCCATTTTCTTTTTCTTTGGTATGGCATAGAAAGCATTATTTTGAAATTTACAGATTGTGACATTGCAGTTTATTTGATCTGACACATTGTAAAACAAATACATGTATCTTTGTACTTTTCTCCATTCAATAAAAGTTACAGAAGGAATAATGTATTCTGTATTCTTTATTTTTGCTATCAATACAAAAAAAATAAAAAAATGTTTTCCTTTGAATGCAAAGTGATTAACATGGATTAACAACACACTTTTCTCTTACTTAAACTTTTAATTTCTTGATGATTGCTATCTGACTGTATTTCATCAAAGTTTCTGCTGTGGGGATGACAAAGCTGTTTTCTCAGTCTACCATTTTGGTCCAGACTGAAACATCTCCACTACTCAGAAGGCCATAAATATTGACATTTTAACACTCAGCGCTCCCAGAAGTTGAAACCTGATGACTTTGGTGATGCTTTATGACTGAGGATGACATGAAGGAAAAGTTTAGGTTGCCTATAATCCAGTTAAAAGTTTCTTTCCAAAAGTAGTACTTGGAGAAAAGGAATCCTGGAGAAACATGTGACAGGGAGAGAGAGAGCGTTTTTTGGCATTATTTTCAATCAAAGTTATATTGACCCGTAGAGAAGTTCCATAAAGAACTTCTGGTTATGAGTTAGGCTGAACCAGGCCTCAGAGAGTCTAAAGAGTTGCACATAAAGTAGATTTAACACAGCATCTTTCTGGTTCCCACAGGTTTTCACTTACCACTGAGAAACATCTCTTTCTAAAAATAGAAACTTAATTAAGGCTTTCACGAAGGCTACAATTTCACTATATAAAGTACTTGCAGTAATTACGCTGCATTCATTTGGCAGATGCCATGTTCCAAAGCAACTTTTAATAATTGCACTCAATGAACAGAAGAGATTTTACTATCATTAATGGACTATAAGAAATCTGTCGTCTTGATAACAACAAGCTGATTTCTAAATATACAACATTTCCGCTGAGAATAAATGAAGGTGCTGAATTTTGTAGCAGCATCATTCTTTGTAAAAGTACTGCAGCTGAGTCCTTATTGCAGGGTTATAGCTAGAGGAGATACAGAAGATTATAGCAGTCGATTTCAAAAGCTACAAATCCAGCTCACCTGTAGTTGTGGATTTCAAACAGCATGTCGCATCGGAGGATGCCAAGAAAGTGCTTTATGTAAGAAAATAGCAGGTCACTTTAATAACATAAATAGACACAATTATTGAAAGGACAAGAGTAGTGTTGCAGGACTGTTGGCTGGTGATAATTATGTATGCAGTATTTCACAATACAAAGTCAATACAAACAGTAAAATGTCAGGATGTCTTGTGTATTGACTGACTGTTTCTCAGCATTAGTGAGCTCAGTGCTGACCCCAATGGCAAGGTGATATTAAAGAAACCAACTGTTCTTTGAGTTTTTCTTGATGTGCTCTTCTGACGACTCAACCTGCACGTGGGGTACACATTTATTCAATTAAATGTAATTTTGGTTGTCTCATTGGGTAACTCATGGGTTGTCATAGATTGTGTTATCATGGCTCAAAGGATTGTGTCTGCATATTAGTCAGCAAAATCCTTGTTTACATTACCAGGAGCGGGATGGCAGTCTACTTAATTCATTTCTCTTATGTCCTCTGTCTGGGTGGATCTCTGCAGCTATAAAGATCGCCTCTTTTAATAACCTTTATTTCATTTGGATAATTTTGTCTGAATTTTTTGTATGTATGTATGCAGGTATGTATGCATTATGAGATACACTCTATGTTTTGTATATTTTCAGAATGTACCTGTTACTTCCTTTGTAATTTTCCTATTTTCTTTTACTCAGAGCTATAGGAATAAACTTTTTTTCACTATACAAATGCTGAGACACTCCATGCTCGCCAACTAACACCCAATAGAGTTATAAAAGTTACCAAATAATCTGATAAAATGTCATCATGGGCAGTAGCCTTAATTTCCCACTGTTAGGATGTTGCAAGATGGACCTTATGCTTGAGTATTTAAGTGACTGGTTAGGATGTCATATGGAATAGAGTCGAAACAATTTCAAGTTTAAGAAAAGGGGTGGCCTATTGAAGTTTGAACAACACCTCTGTGACACAATTTACATACAAAAATGGAAATTATAGGTCCCAGAGAGGCTATAATGAAGTTGCTGCAGTGCCAATTAATTAAATACTGTTATGGGTGATGCCACCCCTTTGTCCCCAATACTTTTATGAATTAAGTCCATATTTCAAACTTAAGGTAATTAGTTGACAGGTAAACCCCTTCCTTAGTCTTTGGTTTTGGTATTAAGTAGACGTATAGTGCCACAGTGAGGAGAAACGTAGACCCCATTGTTTACAGAAGGCATTCCCATTCCTTCATTTTAATGCATAAGGTGTTTTTGAAATATGACAGGGATGGGCAGCGTGTGAGTGTGTTTGTGTATGTGCGTGTCTCTGTGTGTGTTATAACTGAGGGGAAGCAAGAGGCAGAAGATGAACATGCTTTATGGCAGTAGTAAAATTCTCCATGGTCCGTCTGCTAGGGAAGAGCCAAGGGCAGAATGTTTATGGCTCCCAAACATTATAAACTACCTCTGTGCATTTACCTCAAGCTGCTGTGTTTGGCCAGCCATGTCCCCTCGCAGCAGAGCGGGCGTCAGAGTGGCGTGTCTCTTCATGAATACTAACTATTCCTCTGTTTCACTATCACTAAATGTATCTTTACAATTTCCAGCCTCACCTCCCCCACTGCTAAAGTCAGGAGCACTGAGGTCTGATTTCATGCTGTGAATATCAACTGGTACAACGTCGGCACTGCCATTTATGTTGAATGCATGTAAGTCTTCCTCTGTTACTGTATTAAAGACAAACAGGGAAAACATTCAACGCCTCAGTGAGTTAGATACTTCTGGAGGGGAACTGCAAAATACACAAGTATCCATTACAAACATCAAAGACGTCTGGCAAGGGTTCAAGTTCAGGGGGCTTGACAAACTGCTTCAACTTGCAACACATAGTCAAATTGGCATAGCTAGGATAGAGCTACTGTTTTTTTTTTTTTTTACAAATTCTTTGTATATTATCAATTGAAAAACCGTCCGGACCTGGTGCTTTGTTGCTCTGCATGGATTTTATCGCTTGAGCCACCTTCTCTGTTGATATTTCTCTGTCAATTTCTGGGATGGCCATGCCGTCTAAAAACTTACAGATTTGAGACAGATCCCGAGTTGATTCTGAACAATAAAGATTAAAGTAAAATTGTTTAAACTGATTATTAATGTCATCCAGGTTGGTGGATTTCACCCCTGTTGTTGTGTTTATTTCGCGGATAGTATTTGCGGCTTTGGACTGTCTGATATGGTGAGCTAAAAGTTTTCCAGCTTTTTCTCCATGTTCATAAAATGTTTGTTTTGATTTGAAAAATAAATGTTCGGTTTGCTTAATAGAGAAGTTGTCAAATTCTGTGTTTAACAATACTTTCTTCCTATAAAGCTCAGGTGTTGGGGAATTGGCATATAAAAGATTTACTTCTACTATACTATGAGACAGATCTGTCAAACATTGCTTAAATTTCTTCCTCTCATATGCTGAATATAAAATGATCTGACCTCTAAGGTAAGCCTTAAGAGCCTCCCTGACGGTGGTTAGTTGTACCTCAGGAGTCATATTAATTTCCAAAAACATATCTATTTGTTGCGAAAGAAATTTTTTAAATGAGTCCTTGGACAGCAACAGAGGGTCAAACCGCCAGGTGCGTCGGGATCTAGGGCAATCTTGAAAGCTTATATCTAGCTGAACCGGGCCATGATCAGATATAACAATACTTTTATATCGGCACCCCCTGACCATAGGAAGGATCCTGCTGTCGAGAAGAAAAAAATTAGTCCTGGAGTACAAATGATGCACTGGAGAAAAAAACAAATATTGCTTTGTGGTTGGATTTTCTTTTCTCCAGGGATCAAAAAGCGCAAAGGATTCTATAAATAAATTAATAATGCCGCCTGCCTTTGAGATTTTACTATCGGGCCTTGGGTTTGACCTATCCAGATAAGGTGGTAACATGCAATTAAACCCCCCCCCCCCCAAATCAGTTGGTGGTCATTAAAATCGGGGAGGGCTGCTATAACATTAGAAAAGAAAAGAGGGTCATCCCAATTTGGTCCATACACGTTTGCTAACATCACCTGTGTGCCATACAAATCCCCTGTCACTGTCACATATCTACCATCGCACTCCCTATTACTAGCATAACAAAGCCAATAACCATATACAAACTCTATAAGCCCCAACCAGGGCAAACAATTCTCTTGTCAAGATTACTGCACGAGCAACTTAAAGTATTTAGATGTTTTTCTTTTCCATCCCAACATCAACCCCCATATAACCTTAACTACGAAATAATTCCTTTTTCAGTGACCTGAGATAACCATAATGCTTTCTTAGACGATAAACAAACTATTTTTGGAAAATACGACGACTTTGCAGCAGCATAAGAAATAGATATAGAAAAAATGTGCATTAGACAGTCGTATTTCCCATATAAACAAACAAAAATAAAGGCAACATTACCTGCTAATCCCACATTGAAAGTGCTAAAGTGGACAAAGTGGAAACTTCACCTTACCATACATTCTCAATGTCTTAGCGTGTCAACAACACTAGCTGTTAGTACTTACCTGCCAACCTCAGTTAACCGCTAATATCTGTTAGCTGTCAATACTAGTCCGTCTACATCTCAAAAAAGGTCCATATCCTAAGGCTTTAGATTCTTCCGGATAAAGTCAATAACAACAGACGGGTCTTCGAATCGTTTGTCTTGGCCTGTTGACAAGGTGATGCGAAGAACCACGAGGAAGAGGATCCCAAATTTGATCCCCTGACAGCTCCCTGGAGCAGCCGCTTAGCCTCAGTGAAAGCCGCTCTCCTCTTAGCCACCGCGGCGGTGTAGTCGGGGAAGATACTCACTTTCTTGCCATGGAGGGTCAGCGAAGTCGTGTGGGCAGCCTTACGGAACACCACCTCTCTCTCTTGAAAATAGTGAAATTTCACCAAAATAACTCTCGGGGGTTCTCCTTCGCTGGGTGGGGGTCGTAGGCTACGTCTGGCGTCAAAGGTCGCAGCAAAGTAGAGGCTCAGCAGCTCCTGAAGTATCTTAGCAATAGCATCTGTAGGCCGTTGGCCCCGCTGGTCTCGAGTCCCTCTTTTATCCCGACAATGCGAGCATTACATCGGCGCTGTCCTCCCTCCAGGTCGTCTAGCTTTAGCTGTAGCATAGCAACCTCCGACTTCAGCTGGCCGACATCCCCTCCATATCCGTCGTCTTATCCGAGTACATGTTCAGTCCGTCTTCCAAATCTTTCACACGGGTCTCTTGTTTCGCCATGTCGTCCCGTATAGAGTCTATTTTGGCATTTAAATTGTATGTGCTTAAGTCTATCTGAGACAGTATCTTACTCTCACTGCTTGAAATGGCAGCCATCACCACAGATAAGTCCATAGCCTCGTTGCCTCGTAGAGCCCGAGGCTTTAGCGGCCTGGTCTTTACCGGCTCTGCTTTTACTCATGGCAACCTCCAAACTGTCGAAAATTGAGTGTGAAGTTGGGAACCAAGAGTTTTGATGGATCGATATCGTGTGAATTGGTCAAATCTATTTGGGGTTGACCGAAAAAAGTTAAATATTTACAAAAAGTTTGCCCTGGTTAGGAGCTCCGCAAAAACACGTCCATACATGTTACCGCTCACCAGAGCCCCCAACAGAGCTGTTTTACGTCTTTCAGAGATCAGTTTGCAAAGCTAACAGGAATTAACCTGCTGATCCTTCTGTTTCCGTTGATCCACTAGAACTTGCCTTTTACGACTGCCAGAAGTTTCCAGGCAAATTTGGCTTCATTAGGATTTGATATTAAGAGATGTTCAGAGCTGACACCCGGTGTTCGATAAAAACATACACCAATATTTGAGTCCACATGCACACCCAGCAGTCACAGCACAAAAAAATCTGCACCATCATACCTAATAATTAACCTTCTTTGGCCATGAATCATGTAAGGTGCCATATGATGCCAGAATTCAAACCATGTTATTTTTTTTCACAGTCTGCAGCACAGAACATTAGGAGCAACAGCTCTTTGTAAAAAAGAAAAGGACCCTTCTCTATAGTGTACAGAGTACATCATGCACCCCTAAGTCCTGGTGCACAGAGGCACTCCATCTGAATCCTAACACCATTTTACACTCACACTCTGAAAGCTGCTGTCAGGGGATACAAGATTTATTAACCTGTAATTGCCTAATTTTGCCTTTCCTGCAGGCACAGAGGGAGCCACAGCCCACCGATAGACAGCCTCACCTTGCCTACTGAGGAAAAGTCCAAGGATGTAATACTGTCAGCATCACATAGTCCTCACTGGTGATTTATCATCACTGCCTCACTCCCTCACTCCCTCCCTCCCTCCCTACAAGCCCCCCTCCCGGTCCTCTCCCCACCTTCTGCCTGAACAAACACTTAGTGAGTTGTTATGGCACTCCTCATTGAAGGTAAACTCAGCCGTGTGTTTGCGTAGCATCGTAAAAGGAGGGATCTGTTGATAGAGGCAACTTCTCAGACAAGAGGAGAGATGTGTTGAATGACTGCGGCACACCCTGGATGTGTTGTTTGTCGGGATCAATAGCCAAGTCTGTCTGAGCAAGCAAGAGAAGGAAGTGTCTTTGTAACATCAGGTGGCTTCAGGTCAGTGGTGAAGGTACACTGATTACAATTGTTGAGAGTGGCAGCTTTGCTTGGAACACAGATAAGAATCTTCTCATAACATGACTTTCTTTTTTCAGAACAATTTTGAAATCAATAGAGTGCCATTATGTGGTTTTATAGTTGCAGTAATTACTGTTATATACAGTAGTTCAGTCGGACAATAGATAACACACAAACTTCATGGTTCAAACTATCAAACATCTTTTAGCTATTTTCAATGGAATCTATACCTGGAAGATTTTAAAATAACATACCTTATACCAGACATATATACCAGACAGTAGACTGCCTGACCACACAGAATCGATGTATAAGCTGAGGTGCATGATGTGTGAAGCCTACAGCCTATTTCCCACCATGCATGTGACAGAGTGTGCTCAATGTTACTGCTTATCTACTGTCACTCACTGGCTTAAGCTAAAATAAGGCCGGGCTGATTCTCTACTCTGCTTATGCAGTTTGAAAACGTTCTGAGGCTTATGGCTCAAGTGCGAAATCATAACCAACAATTCAGTTTTATATGAATACAATTTTCTTCAGAGAAGACAAAAAAGTTGTTTTGTTTACAGCAAAACTTCTGTTGGGGTATAACAGAAGTTGAAACGTTGTTTTTTCACAGACATGATTTCTAGTTAAAGAGACAGATACTGGAACCCCTGATCGGTTCGAAATTAGTATTTCCAAAGAAACATATTTAAAGTTGCAGTGTGAATTGTGTTTTGGCCCAAAGTATAGACTTTGGACGGTAAAGTTTAACCCAGCTTTGTGGTTGCCATTTTTTTCTGCTGAAATGTGACAAAATGTTGTCGAAACTTGACCTTACAGGTATCCCATAGTTTACATCTTAATGTGTATCTATGCGTAAGTACAATAGGACATGTGATAGGAAGCTGTGGAATTACTTACAAGAAGATATACAGCATGCT